GCATCAATGTTCATTAAGGAGATTGAGCTATAAGATTTTTTTTTTGCGTGTGTGTGTGTTGCCTTTATTTTTTTACTAGTGCAGTGTTGGCTTCATAGAATGTATTTGGTAGTATTCCTTCTTTCTCAAATTTTGAAAGAGTTTGTGTCAGATGGGCACCAATTCATTTCTGAATTCTTGTAAAATTCCTTTGTGAAGTCTTCTGGTCTTGGGCTTTTGTTTTTGGGGAGTGTTCTGGTTACTGTTTCAATATCATTGCTTATAATTGCTCTATTTCGGTGTTCTTTACCTAGCTTTGGATGATTTTATCATTCTAGGAATTTGTCCATCTCTAATAGATTGTTGAACTTGTTTGCATATAACTGTTCATAGTAATCTCTGATTTTTCTTTTTATTTCTACTGAGGCTTTTGTAATTTCTCCTCTCAAAGAATCAAGTTTGGTTTCTTTTATCTTTTGGATTGTTTTTTAATTTCTACTTCATTAATTTCTGTTCTGATTTTTATAATTTTTTTTCTTCTACTGGTTTTGAATATTTTTGTTGTTCTTTTTCTATTTCTTTGAGATGGGAAATTAGGTTGTTTCTTTGAGTTCTTTCTTGTTTCTTGATGTGAAACTGTATTGCTATATACTGTCCTCCTATCTGCTTTGCTCTGTCCCATATATTCTGGAAAGTGGTGTCCTCATTTTTGTTCAACTCAAGGTATTTTTTTTTATCATATATGGCTTTTATCATGTTGATGTATGTTCTTTCTATTCTGAGGATTTCAAGGGCCTTGAACATAAATGGGTGTTGAACTTTGTCGAAAACCTTTTCCGCATCTATTTGATATGATTATGTGGTTTTTATTCTTCTGTCAGTTGATGGCTTGATGTGATGGATTACATTATCAAGGTATTTTTTAATATCTTTTTTTATCTCCTCTTTAATCCAGTGGTCTCCCAGTAGTGTGGATTTCAATCTCCATGAAGTAGGAGAGTTCCTTGCTTTCTTTTCATGATTAATTCTAAGTTGATGCCTTTATAATCAGAGAAGGTAGTTGGAATGATTTTGATCTTAATGTGTCTGTTGATGTTTGTTTTGTGTCCTAATATACGATTGATTCTGGAGAATGATCCATGCATGCTCTTAAGAAAAATGTATACTTGGGTTTTTTTGGGTGCAGTGTCCTATAGATGCCTATTAAGCCCAGGAGATCTAGGTCTTTATTTAGGGCTCTAGTGTCTTTGTTGATTTTTTTGTCTCATTGATCTGTCCATTGGTGAGAGTGAGGAGTTGAAGTCCCCTAGTACACATGTATTTTCTTTAATGTTTGTTTTCAGAGCTGATATTTGTCATATATATTTTGGTGCTCCTTCATTTGATAAGTATATGTTCATGAGTGTTATATCTTACTGATGTATTGTCACGTTAATCATAATGTAGTGTCCATCTATGCCTCTTTCCATCTTTTTAAGATTGAAGTCTATTTTATGTGATACAAGTATAGCTAGCTGTTCCTGCCTTCTTTTTTGTTCCATATGTATTAGGATTATTTTTCAACCTTTACCTTTACCTTTCTATGTATATCTTTGTACTTAGATTTGTTTCCTGGGAACAGCAGAAGGTTGGATTTTGTTTTTCAGTCTATCCTGCTACTCTGTCTTTTAATTGATGAGTTTAGTCCATTTAAATTTAGTGTTAATATTGATACATTGGCATCTGTATTTGCCATTTTGTTTGTCTTTTTGTTATTCCTTGCCTTATTCTGTTCTTCTTATTAGTTCTTTTGTTGGTTTGACTTTAGGAGTTCTTGTAGTACTTTTTCGAATGTGGGTTTAATTGTAATGAATTTCTGTTTCTCTGATGAGGTCCTTATTTTTTCTTCATAAAGTAAGGAGGGAGAGCTTTGCAGGGTAAAGTATACTTGGTTGGCATTTTTGATCCTAGAGATATGTAAATATGTCACTCTATTCTTTTGCTGGTGTTTCTTTGGAGAAATATGATGTCAGCCTGATGTGGTTTTTGTTTATAGGCTATCTGTCTCCCCCCTCTCATCAGCTTCATTATTTTTCCTTGTCTTGGACTCTTGAAAGCTTTACCATTATGTGTCTGCTGTAGTTTTCCTTTCAATTTGGTCGTCTTCTGGCTTCTTGTATGTTTATTTTCATTTCCCCCTTCATGCTTGGTAAGTACTCTTCGATTATCTTCATGTTTATTTTCTTGGTTCCTTGGTCTCCCACTCACCATCTGTGATTCAAATAGTTCTTGTATTTCCTTTCCTCATGGTGTCATATAGTTCTTGAAGTGTTTCTTTATTCTTTTTTCCCCTGGTTCATTTTATTTTTCTATCTTCTAGACTACTGATTTGTTCTTCAATTTTGTCAATTCTCTTTTCGTTGTTTTTCCCAAAGTTTTTTTAGCTTCTCCATTAATCTTTTAATCTCCTATGTTTCTTTGATTTCCTTCTTTAGGGACTCATTTTCATTTTTCAGTTCATTAATTATTTTTCCTCATTTCATTCTTTTCCTTTTCATCTTCTTTATGTTTTTTAATGACGATGGTTTTAATTTTAATTTTATATCTGGCAGGCAGAAAAGCTCTTCTATGATATTGTTGTTGAATTCTGGTGGCTGATTTTCTTTTTGTGGTGTGTCCTCTTGTGGGCTTGTTATATTCTGTCACTGGTAGGTGAAGGAAAGCAGTTTGGCTTACTTTGCAATTCTGGGCCCCAGCTGATAAGGAGGCGCTCATGGCCTTGAATTTTTTCATTACTCTCCGCCTGCCTAGCCGGGGCCTGGCCAATGGGCATAGGCCACGGTACCCCTTTTTTATTTTATTTTATTTTATTTTTATTTTATTTTTTTTTAAGATTTATTTATTTGTGCATACAGAATTGGGGGTACAGGCCAGAGGCTCAGGGGTGGTGAGAGGCTTCACCAGAGACAGAGTGGGGAACAGAACGGGCAGATCTACGAAGTACACTGCTGAAGGGAGCAGCGGGCGTGTCAGGAGAGGTCTGCCACACCATGTGGTCACCTCCGGGGCAGGCGGGAATCGAACTCATGTGGAAGTGGCTTTAGATTCTCAGTGCTGTGCTTTAACCCGCTGCGCCACCAGGGAGGGCCGGTACCCCATTTTGTAGTGTATATAAGCTCAGTTCTGAAACAAAGACTTGTACTTCTTGGTGAACAGACTTATGGCATCCGTCCTTTCCATTCATTCCTTTCAGTAGGCATCTCTTGGGGTGGTGGGGCTGTGTTCTCCCCATGCTCACAGTTCACCTTAATGGCAGATCTTAACCAGGTTCGACTCAGTTCCAAACTTGGGTGGGCATGGGGTTTTGCTCCCCTGCACACTTTGTTTGTAGTGCGCACCCTCTCTTGGTTCGCCGGGTGGATCGTGGGGGCCCTGTCTTGCAACAGTGGCATGGGAGCTGTTTTCTTCTTGATGGCAGATCCAGTCCTAGCTCTACTCAGTTTCAAAATGCACATGGAGGGGTCCTCCTTGGTGGTCTAACAGGTTGAGGTACACTGCTGTGGAGCTATGCACAACCACTAGAACATGAGTTTGATTCCTGGCCAAGGAGGTGACCCACATGGTGTAGCAGACCTCTCTGGCCTGCCTTCTGCTCCCCTCAGCAGTGTATTTCAGTTGATCTGCCTGCTCTGCACCCCACTCTGACTCTGGTGAATCCTCTCACTCTGCCCTCACCTCTGGCCTGTATCCAAGTTCTTGTATGCACAAATGAATAAATCTTTTAAAAAAAATCAATAAAACCAACCAACCAAAATGTGCATGGGTGTGTGCCTTGCTCTGTGTGCTTCCCTGCTCACTTTTGTTTGCAGAGCTCACCCTGACTCAGTTCCAGAGGGGGGTCTTGGAACTTTGACAGTGATCATACAGCCCAATTGGAAAATATTTGCAATATTGAACAATATGGGTTTTCAACTGCACAGGTTGACCTACATAGTGATTTTTTTGTAAACAGACGATATAAACTTACAGTATCGATAGGGTACAACATTGTAAATGTATTCCTTCTTAAGGTTTTCTTAAATTTTGCTCTCTTACTTTATTATAAGTCTTGCAATGATGGCATGGGACTGTGCTCTCCCAGTGCCTGCAGTTCACCTTATGGTGGATCCTGTGTTAGCTCTAGTCAGTTCAAAAACATAGGTGGTCGCACTTCCCTGCTCACTTTTGTTTGCTTTGCCCACCCGCTCTAAGTTCCAGAGGGAGATGGGATCCATATCTTGAAACAATCTAAATTCAAATTTAAATTAACTGAAATCCAGTAAAATAAAAAACTTAGTTTTTCAGTTGCCCCACATTTCTCTACTGCTAAGTAGGCACAAATGCTGGTGGCTGCCTTTTTGTAGAGTGCAGAGTAGAACACCCCCTTCCCACAGGGAACTCTGCGCACAGTGCTGCTTGAAAGAATACTAAAACTAAAAGCTCAGGGAGTTTTTCTGACACAACAGAACTCTTTGGGCTTGAAAAGATCAAACCCCCAAACCTGCTGTTCACTGGAAGCTTTACCAATACAGTCAGTTAACACATAGTTTACATGTTATATTACTACATACTGTGGCCTTATAATAAAGTAAGAGCAAAATTTAAGAAAGCCTTAAGAAGGAATACATTTACAGTGTTGTACCAAATCAATGCTGTAAGTTTACATTGTCTATTTATAAGAAAATCAGTATGTAAGTCAACCTTGCAGTTGAAAACCCATATTGTTCAATATTGCAAATATTTTTCAATTGGGCCATATGATCTCTGTCAAAGCTGCTACTCAGTTCTGCTGTGACAGCACAAAACACAGCTAACAGGTAAGCAAATGGGTATGATTGTGTACCAATAAAACTTTGACAACTGCAGGTGGTAAGCCAGGTTTGATGAGCCCTGTTGTGGAGAACTTCATGTTTTAATGTTCTCGTGTTGGGTTTCCCTTCCTCACTTGTCCTTCAGAGTGGTGGGGATGATCCTTGCTGAGGACAATTTGTGTGTTGTGTCAGGAATCAGTCCCCTTCGAGGATGTGGCGTTGGGGCTCTTCCAGGAGTGGTCTTTGCTGGATGGTGCTCAGCAGAACCTATGCAGATGTGTGATTCTGGACAAGTGCAGGACTCTGGCTCCCAAGGGTAAGGCTAGCGTCACACGGTCCTTCCTGCAAGTCAGGTGCTTTTTAACTGCCTGCTGTTGCTCAGGAAAGATGTGATGTGGGCTTACATTGGTGTGTTTATAAGACCAGGCTTATGGTTACTGACTTCCGCAGGGTAGCACCTTTCCATAGTCAGGATACACATGGATCTCACTGAGCATGGCCCTGGGCTTTGGGACATAGAGAGCCTCCACTCCATGGGGCAGCGAGGAGGGTATTTGTGACTCAGGCCCTTGTGATAGCACTTTCTGGAATTCAGTAGAAAATGTGCGTGATACTTCTCTCCCTGTCCTACTTTCTCACTTTCACATTCAGAGTAGAGCCCAGGTGGAAGGGGGCAGTCGTGGGGAAGCATCTGTTTTCCTTTGTAGCCCTTTGTCCCTCAGCATGGGTGTCTCTCTCTGTGGGCAGGGACTTCATCATGCAAACCCAGTCTGGTCTCCCAGGTGGGACCAAGCGGAGAGCTGAGAGCAGCACAACAAAGGATTCTCTGCACCATGTGTGTGGGTGAGTACCAGAATGGTCAGGTGATGCTGAGCTTGTGAGCCACCCGTCAGCAAGGTGGGAGTCAGTGTGCGCATTTTAAAGGCCTTTTTGTGTGTGTGTTGGGGGGTAGATATAATAGGAGTGAGGTTTCTTAAGTGGTTCCCTTTAGCTTTGATTCTGTTTTCATTTTCTAGCTCAGTTATATTGGGTTTTAGAAAACAAACGTATTCCTGTTTATTTTTTATTTTATTTATTTAAAGATTTATTTATTTATGCATACAGAACTGGGGTACAGGCTAGAGGTGTAGGGGTGGTAAGAGGATTCACCAGAGACAGAGTGGGGAGCAAAACAGGCTGACTGACAAAGTACACTGCTCAGGGGAGCAGGGGGCAGGTCAGGAGAGGTCTGCCACACCATGTGGATCGACTTCGGGGTGGGGATCAAACTCATGCTAAAGTGGCTTTAGCTTCTTAGTGCTATGCTTTAACCCGCTGTGCCACCAGGGACAGCTCAGGTTGCCCTTTAAAAGTATACAATTCATTGCTTTTTAGTATATTCACAAATTTGTACAGCCAACAACACTTTCTAATTCCAGAACATTTTCATCAAAAAAGTCTCATTTCCTTTAGCAGTTGTTCCCCATTTCCTCACTTCCAGCCCCTGGCACCATAGTTTTGTATTGCTTAACAAAGGGGATACATTCTTGTTTTATTTATTTTTAATATATATTTTAAAAGGACAGGTTTCTTAGGAAAAGGACAGAGACAATAGAGAGGGCCTTCTGAGGAATTTGTGGTCAGGCAACTTTGTCAAATTCCACACAAAGCCTTGCTCTTTAGTGTCTTTGCCATAAGAGAGATTGAAAAATACCTTCAAAAATAAATACCGGGCCCTCCCTGATGGCGCAGCAGGTTAAAGCACAGCACTAAGAGGATTAAGCCATTTCCTCATGAGTTCGATCCCCATCTGCCCTGGAGGAGATCCACATGGCGCGGCAGACCTCTCCTGACCTGCCCGCTGCTCCCCTCAGCAGTGTACTTTGTCAATCTGCCTTTTCTGCTCCCCACTCTGTCCCTGGTGAATCCCTTAAAAAAAAAACAAAAAAAAAAACCCTTCAGAAATACCTTCTTCCCTTTCAGTATCAACCTAGTTTAAGATTCAATATATTAAAAAAAAAATCTGTATATACTTTTGTCAATTTCATATAACTCTTTCTGAACGAAGTTTATTTATTTTTTTTTAAATTCATTTTAGATTGGGAATCTCAACTTAAACCCAAAGAGTCTACTCTTGTGCAGGATATTTTGGAGGAAAATTCATTCCATGACATGCAAATGGTAAGATTGAATGGAGAGTATCCTTTGTTTCTTCTTCGAAGTAGAGGAACACTTGAGTTGGAGATGCATTCCAGGGCCAGAGAGACAGGTGGTTTCACTCATAGCAGGAGTGTTGGGGAGTGGCCTCAACACACTGTAGGGGGCCAGGGCAGGGACTTTTGGTGGGATCCAGCATCATTGGTGTGCGGAGATTCCAAAAAGGGGGAAGGGAAGTGAGGAAGGCATGGGAGTAGGTGTTGGGTGCAAGTCTTTATTTTTACTGTGCAGCAAGTAGTTAATTATAATAATGCACAAGTAAGGTAAGTTAATAAGAAAACAGCATGAAAGTTCTCAAGGAAGAGGAGAACAATGTGTCCTCTTCCTGACACTTTATGACATACTAGATTATATACATTTGTGATAACTTTCATGTAGAAGGATGTTTAACTATGACTCAAAGGATAAGGAGTCTGGGGAAGGATAAGTTGTTACCAAAGCATTGTTAGGGATATTAGGGAAGGAATAAATTGTGTTAGCAGAGTCATCAGTGATTGTCTTACGAGAAGCTAATGGCTAACTTAAGGCTAGCAGAGTAGTTAGTGTTTGTTTTAGGAAAGGTTAGCTAAGACTAGCAGAGAGTAGTTAGTGATTGTTTAAGAAAAGGGTAAATTAAAGAGGAAGTCACATAGTCATGCATTAAGCAAAACCTGTATCAGTAATGTTAGGAAATTGCCCATGAGTCCTTATGCCCTGGGAGTTTTATCTGAGGTTTGCTTTTTGTTTCAAAAGACCAAGGAAGCTTCCCAGGAGTCTTGATTCTTAGGGGGTGTGGGTGGGGGTAGGACGATGGGTGTCTCTCCTGGAGCTTGCCTTTTGTCTCCAGACACAGAGGAATTTTCTGCCCTGGAGCGGCTCATACTTTGCCGGAGCCAGGTAGCCAATTTATGAAGCTAAGGCAAGCCAGTTGTAAGCTGATGGTTGCTCAGAATATTTTTGATATAATTATACAAAAAAAGAGAGATCGTAATATAAGTTAGCAATGGAAATTCTGATATTTCAGAACTTTTCTCTTCCATCCAGAATTTGTCAGTCAACAGAAATTGCATAGCTTGTGTTAGTAAGGGATCAAGGCAAAAATTTATATATAGTAATTGTAATAAGGTAAAAAAGAACATAAACTAACAACTGTGGGGGAGGAGAGGGGAATAAGATCAAAACTAAAAACACATGGGACTATGGTGATGTCACGTGGGTGATGTGGTGGGAAGTCCACGGGAAAATGTACAAAATGAAGACTAATGTAAAAAATGTATTTATTTAAAAAAATTGCTAAAAAAAAATTACTGTGTACAGGCCTTCCTGGACGGTGTGACTATACCTGTCCCTGTCACTCTGTCCAGGGCCTGAAGGTGGCTGTGCAGATTCAGAGGGTAGCCATGCTGGAGCCAGCCCTGGGCCTCCTCACCCCATGGATGACCCGGGGCTCTGGTGAGTGAGTGCTGGATGGACTCAGCCCTTGTCTTGTGTTGTATCTGAGAACTTGCTTCTCCACCTTCCTGTCCTTTGACTGCAGGCAGTGTGCTGCACCATAGAATAGAATAGAAAAAGTTACTTCTCATTCTTTGCATAGTTGGAGGAAAGACACTTTCTGAGGATTTTGGGCTGGGGTTATTTTTTTGGTCTTAAATCTGCAGTTTTAGATGGAGCAGGCTGCAGGCCCCATCCATTTATGGTAAAGGCTAGACTTCTCTGTGCAAGATTATATTCTTTACTACACAATTATGTTGATATGGAAGATGTAATTAAATTTACTCTTTTTAAAGATTTATTTATTTATGCATATAGAAGCCAGAGATACAGAGGCAGTGAGAGGATTCACCAGAGACAGAGAGGGGATCAGAATGGGCAGATTGATGAAGTACACTGCTGAGGAGACCAGTGAGCGAGTCAGGAGGTCTGCTGCGCGATGTGGGTCAGCAACCTGGTCTGGGATCGAACTCACACTGAAGTGGCCTCGGCTAGCTTCATAATGCTGTGCTTTTCACCATTGTGCCACCCGGGAGGGCCCTAATTGAATTTACTCTGAAGTGGTGTGTATGTGTTTACACTTTAGATACCAGGAACCCAGCCTTTTAGTCCCTATATCATTTTGAAGTAACATTGGTTTAAAATATACATATGTAATTCAGAGGTCTAGGGTCACATCTCTTCAGAGATGTCACCATGCAAAGGCACCCATAAGTCTCTACCATAGTCCCTTTGGCCTCCCCTCTGGTAACCTTAATTCTACAGTTACATTTCTAAGGCTTGTTTTTAGTTTAGGTTTGACTGCCTCTTTGTTTTTAACAATATTAGCTGGGTGTGTATTTGGAATCTGTTATATCATTGGCAGGAAGGAATTCTTACATGTGGCTTAAATGTGGCTCTTCTATATATTTTTGGCAAGCCTTCCATGTCAGGCTCTATTTTGAAGTGCTCTTGAAGTGTGTGAATGCTTTATGTTTTCAGAATATTCTTGAAATACAAGTACTTGGTACTTGAAGTACTGGAAAACTCTTGTGTTCTTGACGTATTCTTTTTTTTTAAAAAGTACTTTTGAAGCATGGGATTCTCTATGTACTAGACTGCCATCTTGTAGTGAAATGGGCACTGGGAAGCAATCACAAAGAAGTCCCTGACTGCTCCCAGTGGTGCTCACAATCGGTAGTCAGATTTTAATGAAGAACAGATGTAATAGAAGCATATGACGATTTTATCTTGGGGGGCAGAGAGGAGCTCCGGGAACTTGAAACTTAGATTGAGGGTTTTTGTTTACAGCATTACTGGCACTGGGGCCAGAACATTCCCTGTGAGGGACCATCCTATGTATCACAGGTTGTTTAGAGTTTCCCTGGCCTCTACCTACTAGATACCAGGAGCCTATCCCTTAGTCCCCATATCATTTTTCTAGGGCTGCAATAACAGAGTACTACAGATTGGGCAGCTTAAGCAGCAAAAGTTGTTTTCCTCACAGTTCTGGAGGCCAGAAGTCTGAAATCAGGGTGTAGGCAGGGTTGGATTCTTCTGAGGGTTATCTGTTATAGGTCTCTCTCTGTGGCTTATAGGAGCTGTTTACCTGTGTCTTCACATTGTTTTCTCTTTGTGTCTGTGTCCAAATTTCCTTTTTTTTCCCCCCTTGGGGACTCCAGTTACACTGGATTAGGGCCCACTCTAGTGACTTCATTATAGTTAATGACTTCTTTAAAGAGCTTATGTCTAAATACAGTTACATTCTAAGATCCTGGGTGTTCAGCCTTTATCTTACGGATTTTTGGAAGGATTCAGTTCAACCCATAACACCCCTAACCCAAGTTATGACTACCAAAAATGTCACTAGTTATTTGGACTAGGTTGTGTCTGTCTCAAATTTATATGGTGAAGCTCTAACCTCATAGAACTGAAGACTTGGCCTTTAAGTAGGTAATTCAGGTTAAATGAAGTCATAGCAGAGAGCCCTGACCCCATAAAACTGCCCTTGTAAGGAGAGATGCTGGAACTCTCTTGTTGCCATGTGAAGACACAGCAAGAAGGTGGCTGTTTACAAGCCAAAAAGAGAAACTTCACCAGGAGCCCACTGTGCCAGAATTTCCAGCCTCTAGAACATGAGAAAATAAATTTTTTTGTTTAAGCTGTCCAGCCTATGTTATTTTATTGTCTAGCCCCAACCTAGGAAGATAGCAGAAATTACCACACATCCTCTGGAGACCAGGTACTGGTTTAGACCATAATAATCACTGTGTTATTTAGCTTAGTCAGATGCTGGCCTGTTTGGAGAAGGGTTGGGATAAGGATTTCAGGCCTGGGACTGGCATCTGTAGAATCCCTGGGGGTGGGAGAGAGCAGAGAGCATTTGTACCCTGGGGCCCCCAAAGGGCTGTGGGACAAGAGCATTGGAAAATGGAGGCTGTTAGCTGACCAGAGAGACAGTGGATTCAGATCACTGGTACTTGAAATAAACCCCTATCTGCATCCTAGACTGCTGGAAGCCAGTGCGGCACTTAGGCAGGTGCTGGCCACACCTCTGGGGTTTATTTTTTTTAATGATTTATTTATTTATACATACAAGAACTGGGGTATAGGCCAGAGGTGCAGGGGGTGAGAGGATTCACCAGAGACAGAATGGGGGAACAGAACAGGCTGATTGATTGAAATATACTGCTGAGGGGCGCAGCAGGTGAGACAGGAGAGGTCTGCCATCCTGTGTGGGTCACCTCCCCAGTGGAAGATTGAACTCATGCCACAGTGGCTTCAGATAGCTTCACAGTATTGTGCTTTAACCTCTTGTACCATCAGGGAGGACCCAATGAAGCCTCCAGACTTGGGAAGGGGTAGGCATCAGGGAGGACCTGAGTGGTGAATGGGAACAGTTAGGAATAAGTGTGGGGGTCCTTAGGACTACTTTTTGATTTGGTAACTGTATAGGAGGTCTCAGGGACATACAGCTGATTTCAGGCCAATGATAACAGTACTATTGGCTGGAAATAGCTGGGACACTCCTGGCTCCAGTAAGTTTCCCACAGACATTTATACTTTAATGCCCATATTGTAACTAATCCAGCTCTTGGGGGTTTATTATGATCTCAAGATTCATCCAGAAACTGAAAAAGTAGAGATTTGTTACGTAAAAAACTGAAAATTACGTAAAAAACTGAAAATTACACAGTGCACTTGAGCTGTCAGGAGGTGGTGCTGGGATTAGGGTGAGTGTAACTATCTAGGCCCACGTTCTTGCTTTTTTTGGGGTGGAGTCTTTTTGTGGGGGTGTGGCCCAGGGTTTTCCTGGCTTACCGTTTATTGGTGAATTTAAAACAAAAGTATGGGTTTAAAGTGTGGGAAGAGATACAGAAGGAAAAAAGAGAAGCCAGTCTCAAAGGGCCAATTCCTTAAATTCCCTAGGATCTATGCAACAAAGGAGCCTTTTTTTTGGAAGGCTGCTGGCTCTGTCCAGTGGTGTGATGGGCTGTGTGTTTGTCCTAGCTAGCCCTCTTTGAACTGGATACCCAGTCTCAAAGCATTGCAAGTGCCAGCTAGCGTTTACACTACACAGATTATGATTCTTTGGTAAAAACAGAGCATTCTGAAGGTTGTTGCTCTCAAGGGAGTCACACAAGACATACTTAATTCCATGGACATCATGTGTGAAGTGTTATCTGTCAGGTTTCATTAAAGACTCAGTGCCTTGGGTTTTCACTGAGGTAAGTCAAGCTGTGTGTAGCCTTCTGGAAGGACAATGGTTCAGTATAAACCACATTGTACAGTTTAAATGGAATGGTGGGAGCCCTCCTGAAATCCAGGTTTCACAGAAGCTAGACGAGGGCCAGTTTTGCCATCAGGCCTTGCTAAGGAGAACAGTCAGGTATTTTGTGTGAGCTTCTGTCTGTATAGCACGAAGCACGAAACAAGGTAAGACTTATGCAGGAGGTCGAATTTTGTGTCACATGTGCTTCACTTACCTGATGATTCAGATCATTTTATGTGACCAGCATGGTGCTGGAGACAGGGTGGTGAAAAAAAAAAAGGAATCCAGGCTTGTTCTTCAGAAGCTTCTGAAGATGACAGAAAAGATAGACCCAAGGAAGCAAATAAATATCCGATGATAGTATGTCAAAGCTCTGAAGAAGGGGCAGTGTCTTATTAGAAAAAGGAAGGATATTAGGGAGGGCATATCAGGGAGGGGGGCTCTGGGGAGCTGACATTTGAATGGGTCTAGAAAGGAGTCATGTAGTAGGGGCAACATAGGAGGAAGAGAGTGGACTGGCCCAAGTGGGAGGAGCCGGGGGCTCCGTGTAGAGGTGCCACCAATATTTAAAAAGTTAATTTTTGGTGTCAGAGAGGGTTGAGATTTCTTATCTGAGGCAGGGACTTCACTCCTAAGATTGGGGATTCTAGGACAGGTGTTGAGAAGATAATGAGCCCATCATTTTGGAGTGAGACATGAAAAAACAGAAATTTATATATCATCGTTCTGGAGGCTAGAATTCCAAACTCAGGGCATCAGCAGGGTCATCCTTGCAATGAAACCTCTGGGGGAGGATCCTTCCTTGCCTCTTTCTGCTTCTAGTTGTTGCTAGCAATCCTTGGTGTTTCTTGGTAGATATATCACTTCAGTTTTGGCTTTGTCTACAGCCTTCTCTCCATTTGTGTGTCTTTTCTTCTTAGAAGGACATCTATCCTGTTGTGTTCAGAGCTCACTGTACGATAACTTCATGTTAACGATAACTTCATCTTAACTAGCAATATCTGAAGAAATGCTCTTCCAAATAAGGTCACATTCTGAGGTAGTGGTGGGTTAGGACTTCAGCACATCTTTTTTTGGGGACACACTTCAAGCTATGACACAACACTGTTCTTTCTACCTTCTGTGCTCTATATCTCCTGGTAATCACTTTGTTTATGTCCATTCATCATTCCTTGCTCACTTCCCATCATCATCATCATCTTTGGCCTATCACCTTGGATGCCAGTGACCTCCATTGTTCATTCATTAATTCACTCCATCTTGAGACTCACCCTCCTGGGCTTGCTGACCATGACCCAGGTTCCTCTTATATAGGTTTCCCTCCATCTCACCTCTGGTCTAGCCACTGAGTGGACTTTCCTTCTCACATTCCTCAGTATGTTGTGTAGGCAGCCTAGCTGTTGCTGGACATTATTTCCTAACATTACCTGACATGGCCCACGTCTGCAGGATGGCTGTCAAATTTGAACTCCAGATCCATATATCCAGCCACTAGTTCTAGTATCTTTAAAGTCATCTGGGGAATGTTAATGAAACTTATCCAAAATTAGCTAGAGTGTAGGATAGCCTCAGTAAGCAAGACAGAGCCTTGAGTCACAGGATTTTTCTCAGGCCTTAACCTTTCCCTGGGTTTTGAACTTGCTTGGGGACCTATTCTTTGGAAGAAAAAGAGGAAAATATCAGGTGAAGACAGAGGTGCCCAGGGGAGAGGATGGTCATATGACAATGGGAGCAGAGATTGGAGAGATGCAAGTACAAGCCAAGGAACACCAAGGGTCTACTGCATTGGCCTCAAATGAGGAACAACCACAGTTATTTTACCACAAAATGGAAAAAACAAAAGGACAGCTTGGGAAGTGTGGACTCATGGGGAGGTATGCACTCCCCTGCAACCCAAAATTGGCACCCCCTTATATAGCTTTTGGAAGGACTGCTGCTGGGCAAAGAGGAACCTCCTTTATTGATGACTTCCATGGATGGGGAAGCAGCTTCACTTCCTGTGAGAGGTAGGGTGTGCTAGGTCCTGTAGTTTGCTGGTTGCACATGTGGGAAACTCTTCTTTCACTGACCTCTAAATAGGGTTTCACAATGGCCACCACTAGAAGCCTGAAGCAGTAAGGAAGTATTCTGCCCACTGGGGCATGGTCAGCATAGCCACAATTTGTGCTATACTTCTCACAGTTGCAAGAAACTGATATGTGGGGTCAGGTATGCGCCATCCCCGTGGAGAGAGGCAGAGTGTGGGAGAGGAGGGCTGGTTGGGGTGGCATTGCCTCATCTGTAATGAACCAGACTGAGGATGCTTGGTGCAATGAAGGTGTTAATGATTTGAAAGCAGGAATGGCAGGACACTTCTCTCATAGGCAGGCTCCTAGGATGGTGGTGGTTTCTTTTTCCTCTGTGTGGTAAGACCTGGGGATACTGGCTCTGTAGATTAGTGCCCAGCAAGAAGGAAAAGCCAACCCACTGCCCAATCAAGTGTGTGTGTGTCTTTGCACATGCTGCAGAAATTAGAATCTCTTGGTGACTGAGTTTGGTTCCAGAGGTTTGAAATGGCAGAGTGCGTGTGTGTGTGTGTGTGCGCGTGTGTGCTCATTTATCTCTGTGTACTTTATGAGCATGTGTCTGTTTTGTATGTCTCTGTGTCTGTGGGCATGTCTATGCATACGTGTGTACCTGTTGAGTGTGCATGTGCACTGAAGTGTGTGTACCTGTCTGTGTACATAGTGTCCCATGAGTGTGTATGTGTGTGCATTTACAATTATTCACAGTCAGGGAGGGTGGCCTTGGCCCTGTGTGCTCACTGGGTCTCTTGACTTCCTTTTCCTCCAGCCCTGCTTGCTCAGGACTCTGCTTGGCTCCAGCGGGAGAGCACAGAGGAAGCAATTGTGGCTTCTAGTGTGCTGACCACCTTTGCAAGGGTATGAAGTCTGTTTTGCTCTTTCTTATTTTGCCCAATTCCTGTGTCCTAGAACTTCTTCAGACCATGGGGCCGGCCTCCAGGCACTGGGCCTGGAAATGGGAGGGCAGTGATTCTCCCTCTCCATCCTTCCCTGGGTTAGCCAGTACTGGCTTCTGCTGAACTTCAGATGGGAAAACTGTAAAGATGTGATATGTTTTTGTCCCACAGTCTTCATTGTCTTCTGGAGCAAACAGTTGTCATTTATTAACTATTTCTTGCCTGCCTGCAACATACTTAGCTGGAGCTGGAGGGGAATAAAACTGCTAGGGCTTCCCAACTGCTTATCAGTAGCTCAGTTCCACCATGAAATCAAGGTCCTTTGATGATGTAACTATGGGTGCTGTAAATAAAGGGGGGAAGAATAGGCAGAGAGGAGTTCTAATTACAAGGCCTGAGAGACCTGAGAACCTTATCCAAAAAACATTTGCTTGGGGGGGGTCTCCCTTCCCCAGCCTTGCTAGTCCTTTACCATCCTCTTAGATTTTGGTGGGGTGGCCCCGGCTGATTTGGTATAGGTGTGCATTTTAGGAAGCAATCACCTTTGGGGATGTGGCTGTGTTGTTCACCCCAGAAGAATGGATGTGTCTAGATTCTACCCAGAGAATCCTGTACAGAGATGTGATGTTGGAGAACTATAGGAATCTGGCATTTGTGGGTAAGTTGGCCTTGTTGCTTCATCCACACTGTATTGGTTTGGGAATTTGAGAGCTGAAAGGCGAGACAAATGCTGCCCTCATGTGCTTAGTCTAGTGACTTTGCCAAAGATGGAGAACCTTCTTCTGCCCTTTGTTTCTCTATAGTTCATAGCTTCTGGGTTTCTTAATATGACCCTGACATAAGGTTTTGGCATCAGAGAGTCTATTGTTCTCTGCCTACTGACCCAGTGAAGGAACTTGTACTTTGCTTCTTTAGTGAAAGAGCTTTATTGGGCTCATTGTAGCTCAAACATGTTTATTTTGCTACTCTCATTTCCAGCAACCCCAAAGACTTCAAAAACCAGTTCTGGGTTTATGGCAGGTGTAGTCTGCTCACACCATGTGTCTTTTTCCACAAGCAGAAAATCAACTGTGCAAATCCAGTATATTTTCCCATTTGGAGGAAAAAGAAGAGCTATGGAGCACTAAGAGAGGAATCTTCCCAAGAACCTGGCCAGGTGAGCACCAGACAGGTCAGATGAGCACCAGGTAAGGTGAGTGTTAGATTTGACAATTGTCAATAAGGAATGTTTTAAATACGTTTAACTAGAAGATGTTTGAGTGTCCTTTTTTCTTTCCTTTACCTTTTTTATCACTAATACTTTTTTCTAATTTCCTAGAAAGATTTGTTTTACTTCCTTTTGACATGTGTATTTAATCTGGTGCCTCCTCATCATGTTCTTGCTTGTAAGTTTTTTGAGATCAGTCCCAATTCCTCACATAATTTTCTTAGTAAGTCATCTGTCCTTTGTTCCTGTAATTATAAATCTCCTCACATAGCCAGATGCTGTAATATTGTCCTGTATTCTTTGATACATTCCTTCTCTTTACAATTCCCTCCCATGTTTTAGAACTGGTATTAAAAAATTCTACACATAACCTGCTTACTTTTTGGGTTACCTCTGTCTCACAGTTTCCTCTTCTGCTCACTTAATCCCTACTCCCAATTTGTTTCAGAACCTCAGCTTCAACCCAAACAATCAATTTCTCACCAAGATATTTTTGTGAAACCTCCATCCATTTGCATAAGAAGGGTAAGATTCACAATGGATTATTCCTGTTCCTGTACAGAGGAGAAGTCTGAGGTTGCTGTTGGTTAGAAAACTAGCACAAGAGCTCAGTGACACTCAAAGCAAATGGTGCTTTCAAGAGAAAGCAACTTTTTTTGGAGCGAGTCTGTGAATTTCATTAATTGGGGGAAGCTCTAAACATAGATCACAATTCACAGAATTCCCACAAATAACTATTTTCATAAATATGACATGGTCAGAGAACATTTAAAACTTAATTTAGCTCTAAACAATTCAGAAAATGCTTGCATTTGATAGGCCTCATGAAGATGATATAAAGATACTCTTCATGGTAGAGCATCCACTTGGGAGAACACAGGGTAGAAACATTTTAGACACACTAACATGGTAAAAACTTTAGATACAGAAATGTCTTTCTCTGATACATAATTCACTTGGGGAAGAATATCTATGAATGTAAATAAATCTTTGGTTTTCCTATTTTCCTCAATTGACAGGAACAGCCTCAGACTGGAGAAAAACCCCATAAATATAATGAAGATGGGAAACATTTTAATAGCATCAAACCACTTTTTCAGTATCAGAAAATTCACACTGGAGGGGACCCCTATGAATGCCCAAAGAGTAGAAAATCCTTTTTCCAATCCACTCATTTAATCATGCCTGAGAAAATGTGTAGCAGAAACAAAACCTACACATGTGACAAATGTGAAAAGTCTTTCAGGTATAGCTCTGACCTCATCAGGCATAAAAAGACCCATACTGCAGAGAAATGCTTTGAATGTCAAGAATGTAGGCAAGCTTTCAAGTACTCCTCAAACTTGCGGCGGCACATGAAAACTCACACTGGAGAGAAACCTTTTGAATGCAGTCAGTGTGGGAAAACCTTCACGAGGAACTTTAATCTTATTTTGCACCAGAGAAACCATACAGGAGAGAAGCCTTATGAATGTAAGGACTGCGGGAAAGCTTTTAATCAGCCATCTTCTCTGAGGAGCCATGTGAGAACTCATACTGGAGAGAAACCTTTTGCTTGCAGTCAGTGTGGGAAAGCCTTCAGAGAACACTCATCACTAAAGACACATATGCGAACTCATACTAGAGAGAAACCGTATGAATGCAACCATTGTGGGAAGCCCTTCCGGACAAGCACACATCTGAATGTACACAAGAGGACTCATACTGGTGAGAAGCTTTATGAGTGTATGACTTGTGGTCAGGTTTTGAGCCGCCTGTCAACTCTCAAGAGTCACATGCGTACTCACACTGGAGAGAAGCCCTACTCATGTCAGGAATGTGGACGAGCCTTTAGTGAGCCCTCATCACTTAGGAAACATGCAAGGACTCATACAGGCAAGAAACCCTATGCCTGTCAGGAATGTGGACGAGCATTTGGTCAGTCTTCACACCTTATTGTACATGTGAGAACCCACACTGCAGGGAAACCATATGAATGTAATCAGTGTGAGAAAGCCTTCAGGCACAGTTCTTCACTCACTGTGCATAAAAGAATTCATGTGAGGAGAGAAAATGTTCAGAATGGTGGCCTGCCTTTATCAGTGTCTCATATGTACAATGAACCTCTTGTTAATTAACTTCTAGTTTATAAACATAATTATTTGGGAGCCCTTGTCATTTTTTATAGTACTTGTTTTCATGACATGTTTGTATATTTAATATTTTCACTTTGGCTTAATTTCTATCATTACTAATTCTTTGATGCATGAATTACTTGAAATTAGATTTTAAATAACAATACATAATTATATCTTTATAGAGGCATAATTACTTAATAATGAGATGCATAGACTTTTAAGTGTACAGTTGGGTGAATTTGACAGATATACCAATACCCTATTCATGATACAGAATATCTCTCATTCTGGAAAATTCCTGCACGTGTATCAGTGTTTTTAGTTGTCTTATTTTCAACAGAGCATAGAGAGCATATGGTCTTTTATTTTTTTTAAAAAAGACTTATTTATTTATGCATACAAGAACTGGGGTACAGGCTAGAGGTTCAGGGGCAGTGAGAGGATTCACCAGAGACAGAATGGGGAGAAAACAGGCAGATTAACAAAGTACATTGCTGAGGGGAGCAGTGGGTGCTGTTCCGTGGAGAGGGGAGGTCTGCTGTTCCATGTGTGTAACCTCTCTGGCCGGGGATTGCACTTGTGCTGAAGTGGCTGTGGCTGGCTTCATAGTGCTGTGCTTTAACCCATTTTGCTACCAGGGAGTGCTCCACAGCATATGGTCTTTATGTTATTTCATCTTAAGTATTTGTTGAGATTTGCTTTTAGGTCTAGTGTGATATGTCCTGCTATTTACCAAAATGATCCCTTCTCCTTACAAAAGAATCAAAGTTTTGTTGTTCAGATTGGGAATGTACACCATTAAATAACCTCCGTTTCCAGTCCTTCTTGTAATTAGGGGAGTCCAGGCCTCCCAGTTCTGTCAATGTATAAGAATATCAGTGTATGTGACCCTGGAAAAATCTGGCCTAGGAACATTTAGCCATCTCACTCTATTTCTTGCCTTTTGTACAAGAAGACAATATCTAGAGCTAGAGAAGCCATCCTGTGAACATAAATTAGAAACCACAGGCTAAAAGGGAGTACGGCCAGAAGATATAGCTATCCTGGTTCCCAGTTAGTATCTGTGTGATGATCTGTGTGTGGAGTATGATCTCTGGACTGTTTACTTGCACATCTTGTTATATAAAAATAGACATTTCTTAATGGTATTTATCATAACATGTCTTTTTTTGATTGGGGAGGGCAGAGATGTGTTTGTTATATCTGAATGCAATCTCTTTAACTGATACAGTTAGTATATGATCAGTTTTATAAATGTTTCATAGGTGGTTGAAATGATTATGTTCTATGTATGTCTACTAGACTGAGCATCTTATGTTTAAAAGTGTACATTTATAAATTTTGGTCTCATGTTCAGGATTGCATAGACTAGATGGTTTATAAACAGAAATTTATTTCTCACAATTTTGGAGGCAAGGAAATTCAATATTAAGGTAGACATATTTATGTCTGATGAAGGTCCATTTCAAGATTCATAGATGGCCGTCTTGTATCTCTCCCACATGGTAGAAAGAGAGCAAGATAACTCTCTAGAATCATTAAAGATGAGATTTTATCTTCATGACTGAATCACCTCCTAAAAGGCCCCATTTCTTAATAATACACCTTGGGGGTTAGTGAATGGGCCCCCAGCATATGACTTTTGGAGAACAAAAGTCATTTGTCATCTAACAAATGAGTCTCTGTCATAGGTTAGAGAGTGCTGTTAAATTCTCCTACCAGGATTATGTATTGCTAAATAAATCCTGTAGTTCTGTCAATTTTTAAATTTATCTTGAATTAGGTGTAAGTTTTTTTTTTTTACTTTTATAAGTTTCCAGCAAATTATTCCTTTTATTTCTTATAAAGTGACCATGCTTCTCCCTAGTGATACTCAGCCATTCACCACCATAATGACAAGTAATCATGTAGTACTTACTACTAATAGAGAGAAGCTACTCTAAGCTTTGACTCTCTCATGTTATTTAGTTCTCACAGTGACACCTTGGGTTAGGTACTGTTGTTATTTTTTTTTTAGTACTGTTGTTATCTTTAATTTATAGATGAGGAACCAGGCTTGCACTGTGAGATGAGTTAAATAAAAGAACATAGGTGATATGTGATGAAGTTTGTCTCTACTAAGATCCATGTTTTCTTCAAGTACCTCACTCTGTTTTTACTTGTTTGGGAAGAGTACTTTTTAATGTGTGTATGTATTTTAGGTTTCAAAAGGACAGGCTTACTAGGAAAAGGAGAAAGGAAAAAAGAGAGACACCTGTGTAGTTGCAGGCAGGTAGATTAGGAGAGCTGCTTTTTTAAAATGTGTTTTAAAATAATTTTAACTGGAGAATAATTTATACAAAAGTTCATAATCTTAGTGCACATGTTGAATTTTATAGATATTTGTATTACCCACATCAAGATATAAATTATTTTATCTCTCCAGAAAATTCCTTTGAGGTCCAGCTCAGACAAACCCTACTCCCAGAGGCAACCTATTCTGACTTCTTTCACAGACAATGGATTTTTTTTCCTGTACATAGAAATGGAACCTTCACAGTATTTCCTCTTAAGTTTGTCCCCCCTCCCTACTCATTACATTGCCTGAAATTTATCTCTGCCACAATATCAGTTTTTTTTATTGCATAATAGTCCATTGTCCGAATATACCACAATTAAAAATTCTATTTTGTTGATGAACAGTTGTTTGCAGGTTTTGCTTTTATGAATTAAAATGTGAATGTTTTTGTTCAAGTTTTTATTGAGTATAAACCTAGAAGGGGAATTGTTGGATTAGGAAGGCATATCTTTAGCTTCAGTAGGTATTTCCAGTTTCCCAAAATGGGTAAAAAAAAAACTTATATTTCCATTATTAGTGAATGAATTGATAATCATTCATTCTTCACAGTGCATGCTACTGTCAGTTTTATTTTAGATCTATCAGTGGGCATGTAAACATTATTTATAGAACACATTCCTGTGCTTACTTTTTTAGTTCTTGTGTTTTAACTTGCATTTTTGGTGAATAATGATAACATTGTAGATGACTGTTTACAGTAATTTCTTCTATCCCTTAATGTACATCTCTTTTCATTGTACCTTTCTTCTCCTATCAAAAATTGGGGTTTATTTCTTTCTCCTTTTGAGAATGATGCCTGTCATTTGATTTCAGCCAATGGGGAGTGTTACTGAACATGCACTGTATGAGAGGCTTACATGTATGAGAGGCTTAACAAATTTTTGGGGTTTTCTCTTCTCTCTTTTTATTTATTACAAAAGTTTATTTTCTCTTCTCTTTTTAATGTGGTTAGATTTTTCAGAGAAAAATGGAAAAACCTGATACAAGAGCATAGAGAGGGCTGCTTATCAGCATCAACCACTAGACATGTGAATGAGGCCAGCATAGATCATCTGACTGCACACAAGCCTCCAGCTGACTGGCGTAAGAGCAGTCCTAGATAACACTTGTGTGTCAAGGGCTGACACACAATTATCATGGAAAGTGGCTGCTTTGCAGTAGTAACTGACACAGAAGTTAGCATCAAAAGTAAGATGCTGCTATAATGAAAACTTAAAAAATGACATTAATTTTGGAACTGGGTAGCAAGAAAGCAGCTCTGAAGGGATGAAGAAACTTCTGTGTCTGGGAATGTCAGGAACCTGCTGACTAGAGTTTAGAAAAAGTTTACCTTGGTTTTGTGGTAGGGTAAATACTGGCAGATACCTTTGTGGTAATATAAAGTGGAAAATGAAATTGTGGATGTGTCTGAGGAGAACTCTGGTCCTAGCCTAGTCTTCCTCATGAGTGCCTGGAGGTGCCCCAAGAAGAAACTGCAAAAAAACTGCAAATGCCTAGAGTTCCAAGATTCTCTAACTTCATATCAGCCCATACTCGACCTTTAACAATGTTAAAAATTTTAGCAGAAATCTTAGCCTGTTTGTCTGGTGATGCTGTCTTCAGCTCATGCTGTAGGTGAGCTAGTGCTTCTGTCCATCTCTTCCCCTAGATTTCAGGCTTGTTGGGTGCTTGCAATCGCAGCTCTCTGATGGGTTCATGAAAGTTATATTTCTTCAATTACTCAATCTTTTCTTTTTTCATGTAATGTTAATCTTAAAATTTTTTGAGGCAACACTGGTTACTGAATTTTGTTGTATTTATTTGACTATTCTGTGATTTCTCCAACTTCTTTGATTTTCTTTATTTTGAACTCTGATAGAACCTTCCATATCTTTGTGGTAGATTTTGGAGAAATAGTCACTCCTTGAGATGTCATATTCTTTTGAGGTCTTAAGTGGCCATATTTAACATTTTTTTTTGTTGTTGTTTGTCCATTTTGCTGCTTTTGATTTCCTTCTTTTAAAAATAAGTATTTAGGCCCTCCCTCATGGCGCAGCGGGTTAAAGCACAGCACTAAGAAGCTAAAGCCTCTTCTGCATGAGTTCGATCCCCGCCTGCCCTGAGGTGACCACATGGCGCGGCAGACCTCTCCTGACCCGCCCGCTGCTCCCCTCAGCAGTGTACTTCGTCGATCTGCCTGTTCTGCTCCCTGCTTTGTCTCTGGTGAAGCCTCTTGCTGCCCCTGAGCCTCTGGCCTGTACCCCAGTTCTGTATGCACAAATCTTTAAAAAAAAATAAGTATTGATAGCAGTAACAGAAATTTGAACTATTTCTACCTGTCCTGCAGGCGATGCTGTGTTTTTTTATGACTAGGTGTATTTTACATTTCTGGACTTCTGTAGGCCTGGAGACCTGATATCTCAACTGCTAAGTCAGAGAATAGGGGTAGTGCCTATGAAGGAGGGGGGGACTTGTGGGCAAAGGCTGACAGCTACAGAACTTGAAGGCATGAGTTGGCAACCTCAGCAAAAGAGGTGTAGAGAAAGAACAGAGCTTGCATTTGCCTCACACCTCTAAGCATGAAGAAGGGATATGGTGACAAGATAGGGTAGTGAAGGGGCAGGGGTCAGAGGAAAAGTGGCCCACAAAAGGAAAAAGATCCCAGGAACTTTTGAGAGGGGTGGAGAGTCCCCAGAGGCCCTATAAAAAAGTAACCTAACACCCTCATCCTGAGCTCTTCCTTTGGACCCCCTCCTGCTGTCAGGAGTCTCTCT